AATATATATATATGTATATATATTAGCTGTGTGAATTCAGCAAAATAATCCAACATAGTCCAGTAGACCAAGGCTTTCACAGAGAGCAAAATGGTCAAGTAACGGCTGTGACTCATCCACATGGCTGACACAGACAAAAGATCTACAAACTGTTTACATGGCTTCAGGGTAAATCCTAAGGGGATTTGACTGACCTTGTCAGATACAAAAGTTACATTTTTTTGTTATATAGATCCTGCTTTATCTTGGTCTTAACCATCCAGCAGAAAAGTATAAACACGAGGTATAAAACGTACAGCCATATTAATATGCTGAGCTGTAAAAGGCTCAAGTCAACTTTTGACATTGCCAGTTTTGTGGATAAAAATGATTATATTATCAATTGGTCTTTACATATATATTTTTATTTGCTGATAGATCTTAGCAAAAGTTAAAGAATGATTGAGAATTTATTTTTAAAGTCTTTGATTTCCTTATCCCCAAAAACAGATCTTGGATAAGCATTTTAGCATCTAATAAATTAAGTATTTGGGATGAAACTTGTGATTTTTTTCTATGAGAAAAGAACACGTGGAACTTTTCCATACCAAGGTAGAGAATATTGGACTACAGAACTCATAATAAAATAGAAATTATACCTGGATGCTGCACTGCCAAAAGTAATGTATAAAATTGAAACTTTGATATTGCCAAATCCTTAAACATTAAATTTCTCAAGAAAAAAAGACTAATTTTGGAATATTTTCTTATAATACAGCTAATTTATTTCTAAGATATTTCTATTATATAAAAATGTACTCATTAAATAAAAATTAAAATATGCAAGCAAGGAAAAAATAGTAACCATGTTTTTTCTTCATAAGGATTTGTATTCATTAATAACTTTTGGTATATATTATTCCAAAATGTGTATTAATCATATACCTACAGGTAAAGTATATCATCTATGTGTGTACTTACATACAAGTATGTAAACAATATGTACTTTTATAAAAGCCAAGTGTTATTATATATTCTGCTTTGTAGTTTACTTATTATCACACAAAATTATTTCCATATAAACAAATACAAATCTGTATTTTCATTATAAAGGATGAATACAATTCTTCTATATGAGTACTCCCTAATTTGTAGGTCCAATTCTTGCTGTAAATTGCTATGAACAGT